TCAGCGTGGTTTTGTGAGGCAGACACACATCCTCTAGGAAATGTAGAGACCAACCAAACTCAGTATTGCCAACCCCACGTGTTTGTAAAGCCTGAGCCAGGCCCCCCAAAATCACAAAATTGGCTTTAAAAAATCATGAGATTTCAATAAATAATCCAACATGAGTTCTTTTTCATTTGCCTTCTGGTTTCTGAGTCTTTCAGGGACACATGTTCAAGCTTTTCTCTGCAGAGAAACTTTTTTTTAATGAAATATCAGATTCTCACATAATCACAAGACTCCAGGAGCTGAGGCTTTAAAAAATCAAATATTGTGAGAGTCACAATATAATTGTGAGTTTTGGCAATGCTACTAATTTGCTCTCACATAAGTCACTGGACAGCTGTCATAGAGTAACAATATTCTGTCACTATAAAATCCCTTTTTAGCCTGTTTCATTTTTTCTGGTTGTGTCTTGAATTTTAGTTTTTCAGAGTCTCTTTCTCCCTTCCCCTCTAATACAGTTGTCACAGGCAATAAGCTGCTTTTGCTGCAAAACCGCTGAGATTTCTCCACTGATGATGGGAAGTGGGGAATTTTTCCCCTAGGAGCAATTGTGGGAAAATTTGCAATTTGTCCCTGGTAAGGAACTTGGCTATCCTTCATCGTGGAAAGATGCTATTCACTGGTGAAAATGGCATCACCTCAATCTCTACCATGTAGATGAAATCCTTTTTCATGTGGAAACATTTCTTCTTATTAATATGGCTAATGGCACAGATCAGAGAGCATCATAATATCAACAAATGCCAGGAATATTGGGTCTGCTTCCATCACCCAAACTCAAATAAAGTAGCCCAGGGCCCTCTCTATTAGCCAAAGAGTGACACAGATAATTTTTTTTAATCCTTTACCTTTTGTATTAATCCCACCTGAGATTATGAACATTGGCAGAGTTGTATTTATTGTGCACAGTGGATGTCCTTTGTTTATTTTATTTATTTACGCTTCACTCAAAGCTTGGACGTTGACAGTAGATAGAAGATGAAATGAGCTAATTTACAGTCGCATCTAGTGGCTCTAGCAGAGACCGGGCCCCATTGTGCTTGGTGCAGCACAAATATATAGTGAGAAATAGTCTCTGCCCTGACAAGGCTGAAACCTAAATAGACAAGTCCTGCAGAGGACAGGACAGGAACCCCAGGAACAGAGAAGGTGAAATGACTTCACCATGGCTACACCAGGGATAGCCCACAACTCTCCTGAGTAACAGACTGCTGCCCTGCTGACTGGACCACACTGCCCTTTGCTACCTCACTGATGCACCAGCCTCTCCTGGCTTCTTCCATGCCCTAGTGTTGAGGGGAGTAATTTGTTGCCAGACTTTACCAACAGTCCATTACCCCCATAGAAGCTCATCTGCTCTGTATAGTGCATTGGGATGGGGGCAAGGCAAGGCTGCACTCATTCCCCACCCCACCCCTGCCACTCCCGCATGAGGGGCTGGAGTGAGTGGGCGCTTAGCCCTGTGTGCTAGCCTTAAGGTGCAGGTAGCTCGTTCAGGGATGTGAGAGGGATTCTCATTCCCCTGCCTGGGCATGTCATCCACTTCACAATAAGCACATGAGTAATCCCATGGGGGCAAATTCTGATGTTGAATAATACCTTGGTATACGAATAGCCAGTGGCTTGTCATGTGGGTTAAGGGGCTACTGAACCAAAGCAAGGGTATCAGGATCAGATCTTTAGCCACTTTGTAACCCCCTGCTTTTGGCAGCTCCTCTCTGTCCCTTTCCCCCTCTGATATGACTCAGGCATGCTCTCTGTGCACAATTTCACAATTGCTTCCCAACCCCCGTAGGAGACAGACCCCATAAACCTTCATCTTTGTATTTCCAAAGAAGGATGCAGGCTTCTTAAACTGTTGGGTCTGCAAGCTGGTGGGCTCAAGCAATTAGAGACATCTCCCACTTGGCAGCCCAGTGACTAGGCTGGATGGTCTCTGAAGCCACTCGCGGAGATCTCTCTCTGTCTGAGCCTGTAGAAGCTGTGCTAAGCTCAGCTCAGCTGGTAGTGGCGCTTTGTGGATCTTAAATCCGTCACTCGTCTTTCTTAGAGCAGGGATTTGGGAGTCAGGAGTCCTGGATTCTATTCATGGCTTTGACACTGAGTCACTGCGTGACCTCAGGCGCTCAGATACCATGGTGATGAGCGTGGCATAAATGCCTAGACAGAAAGATTAGATTAGATAGACTTTGTGCGTTTGACAGCTCTTTGTGTAGCGTCATTGTCAGTTTCCCCTTATAGTCAGTCAATTTCCTTTGTTGTTTCTGTGGATCTTTCATGTGGCAACAGGGGAGAGAAACATATATTTTTAGATGGCAAAAACTTGATTGTAAAACCACAAAAATTGTCAGTATGTATGTGGGGATGGGAGGTGAAGGGGAAGGAAATGGGGGTGGTTGGTGGCAGTGGTAGAACCTTTGAAGGGAGAAGAAACATAGACTCATAGATTCCAAGGCCAGAAGGGACCATTGTGATCATCTAGTCTGACCTCCTATACAACACAGGCCAAAGAACTGCCCTACAATAATTCCCAGAGCAGCTCTTTTAGAAAAACATCCAAGCTTGATTTAAAAATTGCCACTGATGGAGAATCCACCGTGACCCTTGGTAAATTGTTCCAGTGGTTAATTACTCACACCGTTAAAAATGTACACCTTATTTCCAATCTGAATTTGTCTAGCTTCAGCTTCCAGCCTTTGAATTGTGTTAGACCTTTCTCTGCTAGATTTAAGTAGCATAATCCATTGGATGGCACACGAGACTAGGGACTCAGAAAACCTGGCCTTCTGTTCCTGGCTTTGCCACACACCTGCTGTGTGACCTTGGGCTAGTCTCTGGGCTCTCTCCCACCCTTTGTCTATTTATATTGTAAGCTATAGGGGCAGGGACTATGTCTTGCTATGCAAATGTATAACCACTGGCACAGTAATAATAATAATAGCCCCAATTTTAGCTGGTGCTCTCATAATAAAAAATAGTGTCAGTTTCCTGACACTAGAATGATTTTTTTTCTTATAAAGCCTTTCCTTGTGCTCCTAATAGCACCCAATGTGATTAAGACTGAAAGGGTTTTAAAAATTCACATGGCTTGTCTCTGCTGAGGCTGGCTCCACCTTTCACACTTCACTCAGCTTGAAAGGTGAGGCTGACAGGTCAGCTCTGTGCTTGCCAACCACGGAGTGGCCAGTTAGTGCCCCCCTGTGGTGTTGGTTTTCTGAGTCGGGCAGACATCAGACTGAGAACCCACCCACTCATTTCAGACAAACGGCCAGCAGTCTGCTGTCTGTATACTTTAAAGTCCAGCACTGCAGCGTGAATCGCTGCTCCTGCTGCAGAATGTCCAACAAGCTCTAAATCAGAGAGGAAAAAAATACTGTGCTGTCTCTTTAAGGAGATTTGCATAGGAGGTCCTAATTACAGTAGTTATTGATTCTGATGTTTTAAGTGTTATTCATATCCCATTAAAGGATAATGTTGTCTAATTTACAGGCATAGGGTCTTAGTAACAGCACACCCAATCACAAGGAAGCCTTAATGACACTACTTTCCTATTTCTGGTAACACACAATTAATATATCATTTCATTTCCAGTTTAGAAGCCTCCCCCCATTTGCTAATTATTTTTTTAGTTATTTTGTGATTATCTGTAAATATTTCAGCACTTGGAGCTGCTAATGACTTGAGCCACGGTATGTGGAAAAATTTCCTGCCCCTCCTCTTCTGGAATCGTGCAACAAATCACTCAGTAAAACACACGCAAGAAGAGGGGCTTGACTTCTTGGGGATGGTGCCCACTCAGAGGGATTTGGATGGAGGTGGAGACTAGAACCCACTAAGACTTTGGTCACCTAACGGACAGATGGTCTCCTCTAGCTGCCCACAGTTAGAGTAGCAGGTCCTTTTTTCTCTCTGTGGGCCTAGCTAATAGCCAGCAACATCACATTTACTCACTTATAGGCACAAATCCATACGTTAGAAGTGTTGTCCTTACAGAGAGTACTAAGGTATTGGGCTAAACCACTGCAGTTTGAAATCCTGCCATGTGTGGTTAGCAATGTAGAATATAGTAGGACTTTTATTTTGTATAACAAGGGGTTATGTGCCAGGGGAAGGGACCTCTTTGCAATCCTGGGGAAGTTATGCTCTTCTCACACCCCCATTCTACACTTTCCAGTCAGGCATTGGTTCTTTATCCACAGGTGAGGGTGACTTGGCCACTGAAGCCTCCTGGGGAAGGGGATATCCCAATTAACCACTTAGTCAGCAAAAACACACCAAAAGGCGTTCACACAGCTCATTGGCCACGAGGGCAGAGCAAGACGGTATCTTGTTGCCAAGCAGATTAAGTTTGACGATGAACTGAAGTGCAGTTCTGCTTGGAGAAGTGACTGTGAAAAACGGCATCAGCTTCCTCCACAGATCTGCTCCCTGCGTGTCCAGAGGCCTGTCTGCTGTCTGCACTGACTAACATACGGTTTTAAAATGGTTAGCATTGCAGAGCCGACTCCGTGAAGAGGGAGTGAGCTGGAGTCTAGTCCCTCTTGTGCTGCAGCGGCAGGCTTCTTTGCTACATTCCGGTTACATGGCCAATCAGTTACACCTATGCAAGCCTGTGGCCGAGCATGGGATCCTATAGGTGTCACTAGGGGCAGCACTGGAAGGCAGTGGGGCTACACAGGTGTCAGTGAGGGCATCATTTGGTCTGCAGAAGTGAATTATTAGTCATGAAGGAAAGAATCCAGCTTCTCTCTCAGTTCCCAGGGTGAGTTTGCAGGGCTGGCAGTTAGAAAAATCCACCTTTTCCCTTGTAAATTGGGCACTCTTGATGTGGAAAGCCTTTCAACCCAGTGGACCTTGTATCTTCACTTTCCATTGGTAAGTTCATTGCCCAGGAAGCTTCACTGCAGCACGGCTGGAGCTGTGTACTGTTCTAACCTGGGCCCTTTGTGTTTCAGGTAACCCTGTTACAGTGGGAATGAGCATCCATATCTCCAGCATTGACCAGATTTCAGAAGTCAACATGGTAAGTCCAAAAAGAAGCAAAAAGCTAACAAACTTTAACCATCTTCTGGTGAGAGAGAAATCCAAAGCCATGGCTACTCAGAGTCATTAGAGCGACAGGAGTATTTTTTTTTTTGCAAGAGTTTGGGAGATAACATAGGAGGGATGGCTAAATTCCAGTGGGTGTAATTAAGTTCGGTTTCCCTGCATTCCTTCTGCAGTTATTCTTCATTTCTCCTCCCAAAATTGTGTTGTATTATTGGTGGTGCAGAATGTCTTTCATGTTCCACTCCAGAGGTAGTTGCATTTCTGTGGCAGGTGAGGGATATACAGAGTAAAGTGACTAAGGTTCTTCCTGGATAAAATGTAAGGTGTTCACGTGTCATTGCTGTGTATGTAACAGGACTAAAACAAAGAATGGGGGTGGAGTGGGAGGGGGGCAGGCAAGGGTAAGGATATCTAACATCCCTTCCTACCCTCCAAAGGAACATGTTCCTATCACAGTATGACACATGTATTGGTTTGGTTCTGTGTGCCTCACTCCTTGTTCCCCCTGATTCATGATTCCAGCAGACATGTGCCACTGAGAATGCACATGACATTTGCTGTCCATCTTCAGCCAGATTGCAAGATGATACTGAAATAAACCTATGTTCCAACATGTGCGGGTTCTCTGGCATGTACACCCCATTCTTGATGGTGGATTTTGCCTCTGTAGTGTCTCAGATCATTGGGTGACTGCAGGTAAAGCTGCTAGGTTTCTGCTAAAGTTCTACTACCTATATGAGCACCTTTATTCTGGCTGGATGTCTATGCAGCACTAAGCCCTGATCTACACTACAGAGTTAGATCGATGTCAGACAGCTCACGTCGACCTAACTTTGCAAGCGTCTACACTAAGATGTAGCTCCCTCCGATGTAACTTGCCCACTACACCGACCAAGAGGCATAGTATGTGGGTCGATGTAGTTAGGTCAACTATAGTTAGGTCAACTGTTGCTGCCTTTCAGAAGCCGTGCCACAGTGCCCCACACTGGCAGTTAAATAGATGCAAGCACTCCTGGTGAAGCCAGGCACCGCTGACACAAGGAGCATAGTGTGGATGTGCAAAACCGATTCAATTACTCTGATGACTGTGCATTGACATAACTTAGATTGACTTAATTTTGTAGTGTAGACTTGTCCTAAAACTCTGTGAGTTCTTTGCTACCGTCTGTTAGGGCTCTTAGGTGGAGAATCTCTGAGAATGGCTGCTGGTTTAATTGTATCAAATGCTCCATCAAGAGTGTGGCGGGGGACTGTTCCTGGGCATCGTAGACATTTCTGCTAGCCTTCAGTGGTTAGACCTCCAAAGAGCAGATGTGTCTGTTTGCTGCTCTTTTCCAGCATCACAGGGCCAGTGCTGGCATTACAAGTCAGCATGTGTCCAATGACTGCTGCTTCAAACACTTTCAGAGACTGTCTGGAAACAAGAATACGCTGCCATAGATGGAGATGCCTGTACTAAGATGGGCTGGGCTGGTTTAACGTCGGGTTGGTGCTTCTCTCCCTGTTCAGGAAAGAGATTCCTGACCCCAGATGAGCTGATCCAGGGGGTCAATAGAGTGGGTGTGGGAGGCATGTATCTCCCCCATGTTTTCTTCCCCACATGCTGGAAGTTGGGACTGGTGACTGTCTAGCAAAGGGATGGCTGTGCATCGAACCCTGTGGGCATTCAACAAAGGACACCTAATTGCTGAGTTATGAGGAAAAAGACCCCTCCCTCTGCCCTGGGGTCACCCCCAGGAAGCTTTTCTTCTGGATCTGCTGCTTTTGAAAGGCTGTGTTGGTGGAAGGGTGAAGGAGACATTCACTGGAGGTTACTCCACTGTTCTCTCGGTTCTGAACTATGTAGAAGAAGCCCAGCTTTATCTAGAGCTCCCTGGCCAGTGAAGAGAATTAAAACCTTTGTGTCCCAATGCTCCTACCCTGTTTCTCTGGGTCCGGACATTCCTGTCTGATTTCAGTGCCCACCAGTGCTCCTGCTCTTGGTTTGTGTGTGGGAGGTGGGATTTTTAGGAGTCGACGGGGGATACTTTTGTTTCAAATCTTCTCTACACATGGAACAGCTTGGGCCAAATTCAACTCAGTTGAATTGAGTTGGAGTTGCACCCATCTGCATGAGGGCTGAATTTAGCTCATGGTGCATCCATGTTCTCAGATGAAACCATTTGCATTGCAAGTTCTTGCACAGTAAAGCCTTGGAGTACTGCGTTGAGGTCTGGCTTTCCCATGGATCTGTCTAGGACAGGTTAGATTTCCCTGCAGGTCAACCCTCAGCCTTCCATGTGGTGCATATGCTTCTTATTGCTACTTCTAACAGCTTGTCTTGTGGGACAAACTCAAAATTCCAGTATAGGTTTCTGGCTCCCAATACTGTAGTATCTGAGCACCTCACAGTCTTTAATGTATGTCTCCTCACAACCCTACTGTGAGATAAGATGGTGCTATCACCCCCCTGTTAGGTGGGGAACAGAGGCACTGGAAGTTAGGCGCCAAAGTGCCTTTGAGAATCTGGGCCTGCATGATTTGCCCTACATCTATGACAGGAAATTGAATCTAGGCCTTCTGCATCTGGACCATCCTTCCTCCCATTGTGCTAACACCACTTTTCAACCCGATGCAGTCATCCCGCCAAACACAGACAGCTCACCCCGCTCCAGGAGAGCAGGCCTTCCACCCGTGTGCCATGTCTGTAGTGTCTCCACTGGCAGACTGGCACTGATCACATCTGTGCTGGTCCACATGAGAGGGTGCTTCACCTATTCACACTGGCTATGGCCGGCCCGTACCAGGATGGACGGGGGCTGTCTCCTTCCCCCCTTGGGTACATTGATCCCTTCTTAGGAGAACTGTCCTACCTGCCTTGATGGGTATGTCGTGTCCTCACTGCAGAGGCATTTCTCTCTCCCATGTAGGGTATGACAGGACCTGGCTCCTGCCCATTCCTTGTACCTCATGTGCTGTCTCCTAGGAATGTGTCCTGCCTGCCTGTGAATGATATTCTGCAAGACCGGTCTCCTACCTGTGCCTGATGAACCACTCAGACTCTCGTTCTGGGAGTGTGGCTTTTTCCTGTGATCTGTCCACATGTGTGTATGGAGGAGGGGGACCCTTGCTGAGAAGTGTTGTGTCTGCCCATGCTGGGGATGCCTGGTTCTGCCGGGGAAGCTCCCCCCCGTGCTGGCTCTGTGAGACTCACTGGACTGATGTTCTTCCAAGCTGTGACTATTATGTCATGTTCTCAGTGTGGGAGCTTTTTCCCTGGCTATGCTGGAGGCTCAGGTTCTTACTGGGTTTAGCGTGGTACCCTTGATGGACACACTAAGTATGCCTGGTAAGGAGATGGTCTGGTCCAGTGGGCAGGGCACCAGATTGGGAATCAGAAGTCCTGGGTATTATTCCTGTCTCTGCCACTCACCAGCAGGGTAACCTTGGTCAAGTCACTTTCCTGGGCTGCTGTTTTCCCCTCCCACCCTTTGGTTTGTCAATTCGGACTATAAGCTGGGTGAGCAGCATCTCTTAGCTACATGTCTGTAAAGGCTCTGGCATGATGGAACCCTAATTGACATGAGGACCTTGAAGTGCCATTGTAACTTAAAGAATCAGAATGGGAGAGGCAGCTTTGAAAGGGGTTGAAGACTGGAGCCATCTTAACAAGCAGACATTAAAGGAACCAGGGATAGTTTTATTCTCTGTGTGATGTGAGCTTCTGCACTGAGTAAGTTTTGACTTCTTGCTTTCTGCGCTGGGTAGCAAATCCCCCTGGGAAAGGTCGGTGTCTCACCCTGGGTCCGGGCACAGGGATAGCAGCAAGAAAAACAAGGCATTTCTCAGCACTGTGTGAAATCAGGAAATAACCGTTCAAGGAATAAATTAAAGGTGCACAAGCGGGGCTGCGTTGCCATGGAAACCAGATAGCTTCTATTGTTACACAACGAGCGCTGTTCCTTACTGCCCCTTGTAGGATAATTAATTAATCCCCAAATATCCCTTTCTGGCACAATGGTTGCTGCTGCTGTGATCGGAGTGCCCCCTCACCTGCCAGGTCCCTTTGCTGTGTTTACCCTCTCTTGGGACAGGTTGCGGCAGACCAGGCACAGAGAGAATGGTAGTAAATGCTGGAGGTTACTGGATGCTGTGCTGTATTACACAAGAAGTTAGTTTTCATTGAGATTCCAGCCAGCTACAATGCTGCAAGGTAATGCAGCTCTGTCCTACAGCGATACAGTAGTTTTCTAAGTGTTGTAATACCGAGGAGATGAGGCAGGAATATCTCAGAATGGTGGTGGTGGGGGGGGGGAGTTTACTACGTGCTCTAATGTAGCAGAGACAATGCAGTTGTGTCTCAGGGTTGGAGGCTTCCAGGTGCTCATTTGGTAGAGCAGATTCAGTTGTGTGATAGTGCTGGAGGTTCCCAGATGCTGTACTATATTGTAGCAGAAGTGATGGAGTCATGCCTTAGTGCAAGAGGTGCTTGGCTGTAGTGCTGGAATTGTAATATCTTCTCAGTGACATTATAATTAAAGTGCACTTCTCTGAAAAATGACTGTGGAAAAAATAACCCCTTTCTGCTCACCAGAGCTGCTCCCTGCATGTATTCAGACTCCTATCCTCTGACTTTACTCGCCAAAGTAGTGTTTTATTCCTACATACTCCATATTCCTACATACTACATGCTAAGTTCCGACCATTTACATTTATATAATCACCTGTCCCGGATCCCATGTGCCGAACCAGGCAGGTATTGATTAAGATTCTGCCGGTCAAATGCAGCCTTCATTACAGGTGACAATGCAAAGGAAAGAGTCTAGCTTGACTCCTCTCATATCTCCAGATGGATTTCCAAGGCTGAAAAATAAAATCATACAAAATTACCATACATGATCTAGAAATCATCGATAACAGAGCTGGGCAAATAATGGAAACACAGTGCCTGTGAATATTGGTAAAGGAAATTTGCTGTATAAATTATCTGCCAAA